CAAGGCTGGCCTTGAACTCACAGAGATCCGCCTGCCTCTGCCTCCCAAGTGCTGGGATCAAAGGCATGCGCCACCACGCCTGGCGCATTAACTACTTTTTGTTGCTGTGATAAAACACCAATGACCAAAAGAGACTTAGGGAGGAAAGAGTTTATTTTGGCTTAAGTTCCCAGAGGGAGAGTCTAAAATGGTAGGGGAGGCCTGGCAGGCATGGTGGCAAGAGCAGGAAGCTCACATCTCTACCACAAACACTCAACAGAGCAAACAAAGTAGGGCAAGGCTATGAGCTGTCAAGGTCCCACCTCCAGCAAGGCTCCACCTCCTAAGGGTCCCATAGTTGCCTCAAACAGCACCACCAACTGGGGACCAAGCCTGTATCAGACAATTCTCATTCAAACTACCACGCTGGGATAAGTAATAGTAACCTCTGTTGGACATGGTTTACCTTCTGGCTATTCTCAAGGGCACAGTGTTTTCTTTACTCTTGAGGTTTTGCTGTTCTGTCCTCCCTGTCACAGAGTTAAGGGGGCCAGCCCATCTTTAGACAAGGGGCCCTGAAGGGCACGACATAAACATGCTTGGGTCTGAAATGGAGTTGGGTATATCTCCAGAGTCAACTTGTCAGTGAGCTCAAACCACACAGGACAGTTTACCAATTTAACAGACATTACAACCTCACATGTTCAGCTTTTGAGGGTCAGGCCATTGGTCTTGCCAGTGCGTGTCATGGTCCATGGTCATCCATTTCCTTAATGGACAAACGTCTGCTTCCTTCCTGTAGGCCAGTGGTCATCAGAAGGAAAGCCTGAGACCAAAGCCTCAGAATCACCAGGGAGATTTGATAGAGATGCTAAAATGTCAGCCCTGTACTTGGGAGACAGAAGAAGGAAGGATTAGGAGTTCAGTGTCACCCTTGGTTACATAAGTTCAAGGCCAGTCTTGGGCTATGTGAGACCCTGCCACAAAGAATAAAATGGGCCAGCAGGATGACTCAGTGGGTAAAAGCATTTGCTGCACAAGTTTAGCCACTTGAGTTTGACCTGAATTCTATTCCCCAAATCATGGCAAGTGGAAAGACTTGACTGCTGAAATTTGTTCTTTGACCTCCCCCCACACAGTATGGCATGTATGTGTGCCCCCCCATCAATAACAGTACTAAATACATAAGAAAAATGAACAGAACAACAAAAGAAATGCCAAGGGGGCTGGAGAGATGGTTCAATGATTAAGTGAGCTTCCAGAGGATATAGGAGTTCAGTTCCCAGCATCTACATAGGTTGGCTCACAACCGCCTGTAACTCCAGCTCCAGGGAATCCAACACCCTCTCTGGCCACCACAGGCACCAATACACTTCTGCACACATGTAGTATACACTCAAACACAGATAAACTTTTTTGTTTTTGTTTTCTTTTTGAGACAGGGTCTCCCTGTAGCCCCAGCTGGCCTGGCACTCTCTATGTAGACCAGGCTGGCTTTGGACTCACGGAGATCTGCCTGCCTCTGCCTCCCTAGATGGGACTAAAGTCATGAGTACTGGGACTGAAGGCATGCGCCACCATGCCCGGCCCAGATAGATTTTTTTTTTTTTTTGGTGTTTTTGAAGCAGGGTCTCCCTGTAGCCCCAGCTGTCCTGGAACTCGCTATGTAGACCAGGCTGGCCTTGAACTCACAGAGATCCGCCTGCCTCTGCCGCCCCCGCCCTCCCCGAGTGCTGGGATTAAAGGTGTGCGCCACCCGGCTCCAGATAGATTTTTTTAAAAAGCCAAAATGTCAGGGCACATCCACATCTACAAACAGAATCAAAACTCATGGTGCTTTAACAAGCACACGGGGTGGTTGTGACACAGCCCAGGGACCAAGCTGAACTTGGGTGCAACTGTACTTTGTTCAGTCTCTGTTTGTTCCCTTCTTCCCAGGAACGTTCAGCACTCTAGGCATTTTGTACTAGAGCAGAAGGGTTAGTCCACTGCGGGTTTATCCAGGCCGCAAGACACCAGAGAACTCGTACACGTGTCACGTGTGTGTGTGTGTGTATGTGTGTGTATCTTGTGGGACAGGGGATGGTGACAGGGAGGCAGAGCCTACTTTCCACTAGGGTCCCTGGGATGGGCGCGCCTCCGCGCTGCGAGACCCCGCCCCTGAGCCGGTCCACTCTGCCCCTCTCGAGGCCCAGCCCCATCCCCGCCCCCTCAGGCTAAGCGGGCGAGGCCCCGCCCCAAGTTGTCTCACCTCGCCCCCTTCAGCCAGACTCCACCCGTGAGGCCCCGCCCCACCTTCGCCCCGCCCCTCCATCTGTTCTGCGTGCGTGAGGCCCCGCCCTCGATTCGCTTCCACGCATGCTTGCTTCGGTCTTCAAGCAGGCCTTCGCGCCGGTCTGGATGCGCGCGCACCCTAGCCCTCCTTCGCCTCAGTGCGCCTGCGCGGCCCATCCCTCGCCCCCTCCGGCGCTCGGGAGGCCGAGTCCGCGCGAAGATGGCGGCATCGCTTGTCCCGCTCTCACAGCAGGTATGCTACTGGGGCATGTCGAGGGCGGAGCGGACGGCGGGCGCCGCAGGGAGGCCGACGCACCGGGGAAGCGCGGCTGGAGGGCAGCGATGGCGCGCTGAGGGCCGCAGTCGCGGGGCAGCAGGTTCCGGGCGGTCCAGAAGGTGACAGGCTGGCGGGGCCCGCGGCCTCCGGCAGCCGCGCGACCCTCAGAGCGGTGACCCACGGGCAACGAGGTGAGGCCGCCGCGGGGGTCCGTTCGGCCCGGGCCCGGCCTGGCTGGCTGGGGTCCTCGCGGAGAAGGGTGGGCGGCGGGCTCAGCCCGGAGTCTTTGTTTCGCGGCGTCGGGGCGGACGGTGTCCGCGGGGACCCAGGACGCGGCTAGCGAACCCTTCTCCCGGAGCCCCTCCCGCCGCCCCTGAGCCGTGGGAAAAGCGTGCGTCGCGCGTCTTCCCAGTGGGCGCCAGGCCGCGTCCTCAAAGTCCCCCAATGCTTTTCTGTAGAGACAGCACTAGGCGTCACGGGGATGATCAGAATAGCCATGCGCAGGCAGCTGTGCTTGTGGGGAGAGACATTCATTCATCAACCTCTCCCTCAAACGTGCGTGGGGTCAGGTGCGAGGAGCGCAGCAAGTCACCCTGCCGGGCAAGGTCTAGAGGTGTCACCCCTGAGAACTAGAAAGTGTCCTGATAATTTGCCGAATTACCTGTGTTGTACCAAGCAGCGTATCATAAGCACTTTGCTAGAATCGTCGTGCACGGGATCATGGTTACCAGCAAGGGAGCACCTTGTGCTGGGATCTCTATCCCAGCTTTTTCTTCCGAGCGTCCTTGAACGAAGCTCTTAGCCTCCGCTCACATCAATTACCTCCTTTGGAAAATGGAGCTATAAAAATGCAATTAACATAAGGGGAAGAATAAGCAGGGAAAGCACATTTTTGCCTAGCTCACTAGAAGCTCTCTGTGACACTCTAGTTATCAGTGGCGTTTAATTTGTTTGGGAATAGAAAGTGCAGTATGAATGCAGGCAGGTCGTCACTTCAGGTCAGCTGATCCAAAGGAGAGCGATGCCTGCATGTTGTCTTGCAAGAACTAGCCAATCTGCAGCCCCGTCACTGAATTAACAGTGTGGAGATGAGTAGATATTGGTTAACAAGTTCTTGTAACACCTATGGAAGTGCTCTGTAAATTAAGGACTCGGCAGATAGGACGTATGTGTTGGGGTGGAGTCCTGGTGTGTAGTCATGGCTGGCTTTCTACTCCTGGCCTCACTCCATCCTCTTGCTTCAGTAATTGCTACTGCGGGTGCACACTACCATGCTTGGATATTAGGTGTTATTATTAACAGGCAAGTATTACGGTATAGAGTTGAGGAGAGGGAAGGGTCCTCTCAACTATGTTCACTTAGTGAGAAAGTGCCCTTGTGTGTGCATGCACACATATGTGCAGAGGCTAACCTGGACTGGCTGGCCAGGGAACCCCAGGGAGCCTCCTGTCTCCACCTCCCCAGTGCCGGAATTACACATGTGCATCACCACACAGCATTTTTGCATGAGTTTCTAGGGATTGAATGTGGATTCTCAAGCTTTCAAGACTGAGTTATCCCCTAGTGCAGTTAGTGCTCCTGACTTTTTGAGGTGTTTTTCAAGCTTCCTAATTTTGACACTAGCCCTAATTTGGGTTTTGATGAAGACAGTAGCTAATGCTTGTTGAGTGTGTCAGACTTGGATACATGTTGGCAATTAGTCTTACAACACCAGCTATCAACAGGGGGTTCCTGGCAGGGGCAGTAATGTTGCACGCCTGTCAACCAAGCACTCAGGAGACTGAGAAAGTTCTAGGCTAGCCTGGACTATGATGAGATTCCTATTTTGCTGATGAAGTAGTTTCAGGATGGTGATTTGTCATTGTGAGGTGACAGATGTGTGGGAACATGAGTCATTTCATGGGACTCACCTTCTTAGAATCTTCTGGAATAGAATCCCAGTCCCCTCTTTCTGATATGTACCAGCTTTGCCTGCCTTGCCCCTGTGCTCCCTTTGGACCACACTGCAGCCTTTCCTCTCTTCCTGCAGGCCAGCTGTGTCCTCATTGTGTTGCTTGGGTTGTTCCTGCTTGAAGCACTTTTCCCATTTCCCCTTTGCAATTTCAGTTCCTAGTTCCTTTCCTTCCTTCAGCTGGCAGCTCAAGTATCATCCTTCCCAGAGGCCTTTACTAGTCTTGGCACATAGCTATCCATCTCCCTCACAGCACCCCTCAGCATCCCTCATGGTCCACAGACCACATTGTATGTCTGTCTCTGTGTCAGACCTGATATCAATGGGAGAACAGGTCACTTGCCCAGCTTGCCTGACTTCATGTCCAACTCTGTGCCCAGCACTCAGAAAATGTCACCTAGGCCAGTAAAGCGGGGCGCTGTGACATGAGGCTTTTCCTCTCAGGTGGAAGAGCTGTGGGTGGGGATGGAGCTGAACTGAGGCAGTTGTGAGGAGGTGCAACCTGTGTCCTGAGGTCGCTGCCTTTCCTCCATGCTTGTCTTTGTTGTTGTTTTTTGACCATTTTTTAAAAGTTTTTTTTTTTTTTTTTTTTTTTTTACAGTGGGTGTGGTGGCACACACCTTTAATCCCAGCACTCGGGAGGCAGAGGCAGGCAGATCTCTGAGTTTGAGGCCAGCCTGGTTTACATAGCGAGTTCCAGGCCAGCTGGGGCTACAGGGAGACCTTGTCTCAACAAGACAAAAAGTTGTTTTTACATTTATTAATTTATCTCTGTGTGATATAAGTGCATGTACTGTGGTGCATGTGTGAAGGTCAGAGGACAGCTTTCAGGATTTACTTCTCTCTTTCTCTCATGTGGGTCTCCATAATCAAACTCAGGTGGTCAGTCTTGCCAGCAAACACTTTTACTCACCGAACCATGTAGTTGGCCCTATTTCTTTTTGATAGGGTCTCCCTGTAGCCCCAGCTGGCCTGGAACTCAGAGTGCTGTCCTCTGCCTTCTGTGTTCTGGGGCTAAAGACATTCGTGTGCCACCACACCTGCCTAGCTCTGATATTTTTATTGTAAGATGGGGTCTCACTAAATTTCCCAGGCTGGCCAGAACTCACCAGTCCTCCCGCTGTAGCCTCTCAGGGGCGGGGATGACAGGTTTCTGCCACCAGGCCCAGCTTTTATGTCTGCTCTTTACTGAACTACAAAACTTCAAAGCTAGGGTTACTGTCACCCAGGTGTGAGGCACAATTAGGGCCAAATCAAGGTGCTCACACAGATGGAAGTGAAAGGGGAAAAATCTGTGATACCTTCTGGTTTGGATGCCCTGACCTCCTGAACAGGAGGCTCTGGCATGATTGGACTGAGTGGCAGAGGTCACTTGGAAAGCGATGCGCCGTTAAAGTGAGTGAAGTGAGCGAAGGCACCAGCCTCAGAGTTAGCAGTGTGGGGGAGTGCAGCTGTTTTTCTTTCTCCTCTAGTGCTGGGAGCATTTTTCTTGTCCCTCTCTGCTCTGTTCTCCCCAACACCATCCTGGCCATCGGCCTCCCAGGCCAGGGTCCCACATAAGTGCCAGCACACACAGCCTTGAGTGTGCCTTCCCAAGCCGAGGTCCCTGCACCCATCTTTCCCAGTGCTGGGCTCGGGGACCAGGGCCTTTGCACAGCCTCTTCTTCGTCTGAACTGCCGACCTTCTCTCTGAGTGTCCATCTTCAGTCTGGCCAGGGGTTCCCAGCCTCCCCCTTGTCTGCCCACCTCCTTTCCCTCCAGTCTGCAGCTTCCCTGCTCAGTGCTTTAACCCTGCCTTCCACAGACCCTTTTGGTGCTTTGCCCCTTGCTCTTCTTGTGGGCTACTTCCTGACCACACCTTGACGTTCCCTGGGGAGTACAGTAGGGCAGGGACCATCCTGTCCCATTTCCTCCTAACCTTTTCCCTACTTCTTCCCCTACCACTCTGGGATCTTCTAACCACTGCCTTGCTCCAGAACCTTCCATGTCTCCCATTCTCCTGCCAAGGGACTAGGGATGTATCTCCGAGGTACAGTGCCTGACCTCTCAAAGTGAGTCTGTCCTGATGAGCCAGCTCCTCACGGTCCCACTCTGACCCGCTTCTGACCCCTGCACTCTTCCTGACTGGCTTCTGTCTGCCCCTTAGCTGCCCCATGCCCACTCCCACCCCTTGCTTCCAGTGTCTTGGTAGCAGTGCCGCTCCTGGGGCTTGGTGATCCTGTGGGACCTGCTGCCTCCCATCCAGCCACTTCTGAGCCCTCTGTGGCACTTCCCTCCAGCCCTCCTGAAACCAAGGTCTTGCTCCGTCCTGTGCCTTCTGTGGGTTCCTCAGACTCCACACGGAGGATGCCTCCACGGAGAATGCCTGATGACTGACAGTAGTGCTGAGGTACCAGATTCCCCCTGTCTCTCTACTTACATCTGGGAGCTCTGGGGATACTCTTACCACACGTGCATTCTTCCAGGAGGTTTGTGTCTTGTCTGTTTCCGGAGCTGAGGATGGAACCCAGGCCCTTGCACATGCCTAGCCAGTGCTGTACCGCTGAGCCACACCCCAGCTCCCTAGAAGGATTCTGTTTAATGCATGAGAAGAAATAGACCCATAGGGTGAGGTGACTTGTGAAAGTTCGATAGCTATGAGTCTATGAGTGTCACACTGGAGTTGAACCCTGGCTACCTGCTATGGAGCCCCTCTTGTCCATTCTCCCCTGCTTTCCACTCAGGCCACTGGGCACCCTCCCCAGAGCACCCAGCTAGTGTGTCTGTAATGACTGTGGAGGACCTGGGGGCATTTGTTTGCTTTCTTGTCCCTGTTTTTTTGTTTTTCCCCCCAAGATTTATTTTACTAGAATGTTGATAACTGTGCAGTATATTTTGATGGGCAGAGAGCAGGGATCTAGAGTTCGACTTGGCCCTCCTACTAGAAACCTCAGAACTCCCTGGTTGCTTTGCTGACCTGCACTGCCTGCCTGTTGAGGCTTCCCATCAAGCAGAACCACATGCTTCCCCCTCTGCCCCAGTTCCT